ACTGACGTTTTGAGCACGGCACGTGGTGCGCATCCGGACGGGCGCATCAGGGCAGCCGAGACGAGGAGCGTTGCGCAACGAGTGGATGCGCTCTCTGGGCCACGGCGTGCCTCGGCGGGGGGAGGGGCCTTTATTTTAAGCCCCTGGCCCCTAGGGGTCTCTGGGCCTCGGGGGGAGTGCTCCGAAGGCCTTGGTGGCCTCCTTGGGAAATCCTGGGGGCACCTTAGGCCAGGGGCACTTCTAGCAACATCCGACCCCTGGACGCCGATTCGAGGAGTGCGCATCAGGACGGGCGCATCAGGGCAGCCGAGACGAGGAGCGTTGCGCAACGAGTGGATGCGCTCTCTGGGCCACGGCGTGCCTCGGCCATGAGCAGGCTCCGCGATTCAGATCGAAGGAACGGCCCGAAAACCAGAGCCCCTCCTCCTCCTCCCTCCTCCTCCTCCCTCCTCCTCCTCCTCCTCCTCCTCCTCCTCCTCCCTCCCCTCCCCCCTCCCTCCCCCTCCCCTCCCCCTCCCCCTCCCTTCTCCTCTGCCCCCCCCGCCAGAGCCCGTGCTCGTCGAAGGAACGGCCCTGGTTACAGAGTCTTGCCTGCAGGGGGAGACACAACGACGTGGACACTGGCTTTGGCAGGAACAACTTGGACACTGGCTTTTGGGAGGTCCGCGCGGACCTCTTGGATCAGCACTGGACACCCACCCCCTTCCCTGACGCGCGGTGCGCGCCAAGAGCGGCGCTGGGGGGGCCTCCAGTGGGGGGGTGGTCCAGCGTGGCGTCTCGAATTCCGTCATCTCGACTCCTTGAATCGGCGTCCAGGGGTCGGATGTTGCTAGAAGTGCCCCTGGCCTAAGGTGCCCCCAGGATTTCCCAAGGAGGCCACCAAGGCCTTCGGAGCCCCCCCACCCGAGGCCCAGAGACCCCTAGGGGCCAGGGGCTTAAAATAGAACGAACAGCTGGAGACACTTTTTGAGTAGCAGACCGACTGCAGCATTGATGTATCCCCACGTTGATTTTCCCGTCGGATCTGCGAAATATGCATAGAACTGTCGTAACTATGCAAACATTCTGCATACCTATACGACCACCCTTCGGGTGATAAGGAGGTTCGGGGGGGGAGGAACCAACGTCTCACTCGATCGGTCTCACTATCGAGCTCACTATCGATCTCAGTATCGGTCTCGCTCGATCGATCTCCCTCGATCGATCTCACAATCGATCTCACTCGATCTATCTCACAATTCATCTGACTATCGATCTCACAATCGATCTCACAATCGATCTCACATTCGGTCTCACTATCGATATCACAACCGCTCTCACAATCAACGTCATCAGCATCATCATCATCAACACCAACATGTACATCAACATCATCATCACCAACATCATCATAATCGGGACACCGTCCTCATCATCAACACCAACATCATCGTCATCACGGTAATCGACATCATCGGGACACCACCATCATCATCATCATCACCATCATCACAATCATCATCATCATCAACATCATCATCATCAGCAGCATCGGGACACAGTCATCGTCATCATCATCATCAGCAGCAGCATCATCATCGGGACACCATCATGATCACTATCGTTATCATCATCATCATCATCATCATCATCATCATCGGGACACCATCATCATCATCTCATCCTCATCATCGACATCATCATCATCAGCATCATCAACATCATCATCATCAGCATCATCATCATCGCCATCATCGGGGCACCATCATCATCATTACCAACATCAGCATCAACATCATCATCATCACCATCGGGACGCCATCATCATCAACATCATCATCATCATCATCACCATCATAATAATCATCATCATCGGGACGCCATAATCATCATCAACCTCATCATCATCCGCATCATCATCAACGGGGCACCATCGTAATCAGCATCATCAACATCGCATCATCATACTCATCATCATCGGGACACCATCATCGTCATCATCATGATCATCAACATAATCATCATGATCATCATCATCATCCTCATCATCGGGACACCATCAGCATCATCATCATCATGGTCATCATCATCATCATCGACATCATCATCATAATCATCATCATCATCATTATCATCCTCAGCATCGGGACACCATAATCATCATACCATCATCATCATCGTCCTCATCATCATCATCATCGTCATCATCATCATCAGCAGCAGCATCATCATCATCATCAGCATCACCATCATCATCATCATCACCATCATCATCATCATCATCATCATCATCATCATCATCATCGCCACATCATCGGCGGGACACCGCGGGACACCGCGGGACACCGCGGGACACCGCGGGACACCGGCGGGACACCGCGGGCCACCGGCCGCCCGGAAGGGAATCATTTGGTCCGGCCGCGCCTCAGCCACACGGGACTTTCGCGGGACACCGGCGGGACACCGCGGGCCACCGGCCGCCCGGAAGGGAATCATTTGGTCCGGCCGCGCCTCAGCCACAGGAGACTTTTTCTCGCCCGCCCACGCAGCTTCGCCGCCCCGCACGCACGGCACGCACGAACACGAAACCGAAATCGATTTCCCGGTAGGGGGGCTCTCCGTTCCACTTCGATCTCACCCCCTCACCTCCGATTTTTGAAATCGATTCGACGAACAATACATGTCGGGGTAACTCAATGCTGTACTCGATGTGCTACTCAAACTTTGGGCCAGGGGCACTCCTGCAACCCCCGATTCAGGGGGGGAAGTGCGAGTTCATTGGCGGCGCCCCCCAGCGCCGCTCCCGGCGCGCTCGGCGCGCTAGGGAAGGGAGGGGGGTCCAGCCCCGATCCAAGAGGTCCGAGCGGACCTCCGAGCGCGAGCGCTCGTGTGCTGTGCCGACTTCTCCTCCTGGAGCGACGGCGGCGGCAAAGACGACGTGCATCCTCGAACGCGTTTGCACTCGAGGGCGCCTCTTCGAGTGACGGCGTTTCCAGGCGAGGATACCTCCTATTTGGCGGATTCCGAAACCCCTGAATCGAAAAACCTTGCCATCTTTTGGGGGTGCATTTTGCTGCTTCCGCCGGCTGCCACCGGCGGAAGCACCCCCGCTTTGCTTCCGCCGGCTTCCGCCAACCTTCCGCCGCGGAAGAAAACGGCATCTCCTTCGACCCTCCAAGGCGAGGTCCTTTCTGAAAGTCCTATATGAATTCTGCCTTCCGTGCCTCCCCGAACGACGGCGGCGGCGGCGGCGGCGACGCCGCCTGGCCGAGGCCGCGGCGGCGATCGCCGCTGCCGCCGTCGGCCTGCGGGGTCGGCCGGCAGCGCTGCGCGGACCCCCCGCCCCCCCCCCTTCCCCCGCGGGGCGCTGCCCACACCCCGTTCTGTGCTGGAGGAGGAGGAGGAGGTAGAGGAGGAGAAGGGCAGGTAGAGGATGATGATGATGATGATGATGATGATGATGATGATGGTGATGATGATGAGGATGATGATGGTGATGATGATGAGGATGACGATGGTGATGAGGATGAGGATGGTGATGGTGATGGTGATGATGATGAGGATGATGATGATGATGATGCTGATGATGATGACGATGATGATGATGATCGGCCGAAACTTCTACTGTGGTTCGTCCGCCGACAGCCTTTCCGCAAGTGGCGTGACGGGCTGCTGCAAGGAAGCTGTTCAGTGCGCAGCGGCTGGCCAGGCTCGTTCACGGCCTTGGCTTTGTGATACACATGGACCGCCAGGACACAAAGCGTCAGTGCTCCAGGTCGGCTCATCGCACAATCGGCGGCATTATATTCATTCGTGGCCGCGAGGCCCAGGACGTGGATGGGAAAGGCGGAAAAGCCAAGGAGGCGACGAAGAACGGGACAGAAGAGGTAATGGGCGATCGCGTCGGGCACATCGGCGCATTCGAAAAAGGCAGGAAGCGGTGCCACAAACGTGCATAAGGTGCGTGGTCGTCCACCCTCATGAGAGGGTTTTGAACACTGACCATGGCCGCGAAGGGTGCTGTGTCCGAAGGACCGAGAGACACTCCGCCCGCCTTTTCCCAACCGGCCCCGTCATCAGCCGCAGCAAACCCCATGCACGCAGTCGCTTGCTAATGGTGAGCCGGACATCGGGGGGAAGAGGCAGCGACGTAAGGAGGCGCAGAAGATACGCTGCACCTTAGCCTTGCGACCAGCGGCACGGGCGTCACTCAGCTCATTGCGGGCCGCAGACGCGGCATTCATCCATTGCGCGTCAGTGACGCTCGGATCGGAGGCATGCGCCTGGAGCGATTGAAACCGTTGCAGGATGCCCTGCGAAATCTTCCAGCAAGGCGCGCTCCATTTCTGCTGGATCCATGCCACAAGCGGGAGGTCTCTCACCGCCTGCTCTGCCCCGGCTCGTCAGCGTGTGATGCGCACAGCGCCAAAGACTCGCCATGCCGAGAAACTGCGCAGAGGCTGGTGAAATAAGCGCGTGGTGCTTAAATGCGAAGAGATCCGCCTTCCAACATGTGCTCGATGGAAGGCGCAAAACTTTGTGTAATGCGAATTTTCCCTTCAGCAGCACCCGCCGCGGCATTGGGTGGAGCTGCGCAAGATAGCTCGGCACCGACAGGGCAGTGCTGTTATATATCAAGAGACCCACGCTAGTCGGGCCATCGGCAGCAGCATTTGCGAGCGGCCTCGGCCCACATTGCGGCCTCAGTCGCCCCTGGCCTGAATTGGGCGCCGAGATCTTTCGCGTGCGAAGCGATAGACGTGCCCGCCCACGTCAGAAGGTGACGTTCGAGGAAGCGCCAGAAACGTGCAACTACGGAGGCGTCTTAATTTGTCCATTGTAGCACACGAGCTGTTTTGCTTGATTGCAAGCGAAGGTGGGCCGGGCGTTCGGCTGCTTGGAAGACTGGGAGCGCTCTCGGCAAAGCAGTCAATCGAGGCTGGACAAGGCCAGCGTCTTCAGCGCATCCCCCCGCGACCCCGCGACGCTCACCCAAGAACGACGGCGAAACCTCTCCCGCCAAGTGTCTCAAACTCGGGTCCACTGCTATGGCCTAGGCCGGGCCTGACAATGGGCATCCTTGCATGGCATCAGATTGTAGATAGAGCATAGATTGCTGCTCGCCGTTGACTGTGGCAAAACGACCGGGCGCGAAATAAAACGCCGAAGTCAGGTTTGGAAATCCCGCGGGGGGCCCAAAGTGCTCCCGCGCCGCCGAGAGCCAATCGTGGCCCAAGGAGGGAAAAGCAGCAGCAATGTCAAACGCAACAAGAACTGGGGCGGCGTCCTGATCGGCGGTTTCGCGCGTGCTCGCGCCCCTCGCAGCCGCGTCAAGACGGGTCGGGTTGCGTGGGAAGTTGCGTCTGGGAAATCCCTGCTGGACCTCGTGAGCGCGGTCCTTCGCCAGACGCTTGAGCTTGCGATTAGCAGCAGCCGCGAGGATTGTCTGTGCTGCGCAGCGACCGAGGCCTGATCTGAGAAGGCTTCCGAATGCGTTCGTGGGCATCGAGGGGCTCGGGGCCCTTCGGAAGAAAGGCAAAGAGGGAATCGTTCAAGGACCCAGGAATAAAGTGGACTGACATCAGGTGTTTGAGGACCCCGTGCGGCGCGGGGGGCAACTCGTCGGATGTTATCCGAGCCTCGTGGGGGGTCGCATCTGGGCCCGCTGCGCTGTGTCGCGCGCGCTAGAGGGCCATCTTAAGGCCCTCGGTGCTGGGGGGCGGCGATGTCGGCCATGCTCTGGCCCGGGTGGATCGTCTCAATGCGGTTCTGGATGCCCAGCTCATTGGCCGGCTTGGCCCGACAGGCGTCGGCCCAGTGAACCCTCGGAGCCTCGAGAATTTCCACGGGGGACTTCGCTGCGACCTGCGCGTCGGGCCCCGCGGAGTGCTCAGGACGAATGCCCGGTATAATCAGCCCCCTTCCCTTGGGCCTCCATGGCGTGGCTCTCTGGCGAACGGCCTTCTGATATTTGAAATGAGCAGCAGCTCCCAAGAGATCGCCGGCGCGCTGGGCACGTTGGGCAGCCAGCGCAGCGCGCCGCTGTGCGACCTCCAGCTCCGTAGCGCGAAGTGAGCGAAACTTGGGTCGAAACCCATCGTGGTGAAGCAAACGAACATGTCCATCATCAATCTGAAGAGAGCGACCCCCTCCTGCCGTGGTCGATTGGATCATGGCAGCAAGAGAAGCGTCCCGTCGCCAAACCGCTCGCAAAATGCTCCTCATTGTGATATTTCCCCCACCTCGTGCTCTGCGATCATCCGGTCGGAATGGCAATCGCTGTGGCTCATCTCGGGTCTGGCGAGCAGCCTCTATCATGAAGTCATTCGCGTGGATCCACTGCTGGGCGGGCGAGAGGCGCTCTAGGTCAGCGACGGTGAGCAAGCTGCCCAGCATTTCCTTGAACCTTCCGCCGCAGGAAACCACATCAGGGATGCGATTTTCGGCTGCGTGAGGTGATGCCATGGTGCGGAGCCAGAGGCAGAGCGTGGAGTGGTCGCTCAGCCTGGAACGCGACATCTCCATTGGGTCCGCATCGGTCAGTCCATCAGGTAGTGCTCAGGGATGCCAATAAAGTCCCGTCGATCGCGGATGCTGCGTGTTGTTGGTGGCTGAAGTGCGTCGGGATGGGTGACCGGATCTCTTGCGTCATGTCGAAGAGAGGGCGCCAGAACATCTCCAGCAGCGGATGCGTGCGGCTGGTTGGTAGAGAGCTCGTCATCGCGACCGGCTCGTCTTAACTGCAGGGGTTGCCCTCCCTGATGTAAAATCACCCATGGCGAGGAAGGTGTGCGGCATGGGGTCAGCGACGTTCCATGCTGGGAGATTCCCTGTAGTGCGCGATGCCGCTGCGTTAGTTATCATGTATGCCGTAGTCGTGGGCGTTCGGGATCTTGAGGCTAGCGCCGCTGCTGGCGCGCGCGATCTCTGGCGCGGCGACTCAACCATGTTCGATGTGATGAAATGGGCGGCAGGTCGGAGCTCATCCGGCAGGGACCTCGGCCATGGCGCCAGAACATCGAGGCCACCCTCGCGCGATAGTGGGGCCTTGGAGTGGAAGAGCTTGGCCTGGCACGGCGAGCTGGCGGTCGGGGCCTCCAGCTGTTGTCGGATTCTTCTGCAGCTTGCGTTTGCGCTTGCGCTCCTGGTGGCAGTAGAGCCCGCGAGCATTCCATGGCGCAGTGTGGGCGCCTCGCGTACTCGGGGGTGCACTCAACGGAGTCCAGCGCGGGCTAAGTAGACCGCAGTGGTGTCGGTGACACGAAAGAGGCGTTGGAACTCCGCGGCGACTGCGGCATTGTCCACTCGCAGCCGCTGGGCGACTTGTCCGCCCCATCGAAGTCGCGCACTGCCGGCTGCGCTGGAACCGATCTCGAGAGCCGCGAGCGAGATCGAGTCGAAGAAATGATGCCCTCGTTGCCGACCGTGCGGGGTGCGCAGGATGACGTTCAGAAAGACGCATGAATAATCGTGTTGTTTACGATTTTATCCGCAGTTGTTTTGGTGATTTGTCTGCAGTGA